TTTCACAGCCTTCAAAGTTCTACGTCATTATAACTTACTTTACTTCGGCTATCTCCTACGGGAGGATGAGCCGGCTTCATGAACCATGAAGTTTCATGGGAATTGGGTACGAGTGATGTCCCCAGCATCGCTCGGCCTTTGTTTGAGAGTGCAGCTCTAGCCTTTACACAACCAAGTGTGACCTACAAAGCAGTAGGAGTGGAGTAGGGTGTCCACTATCCATTGGCAGCCGGTGACCGGAGTCCGGTTCATTCGCCTTTTTGAATGGGGCCAGACATCCAGGGCATCCAATAAGCCCTTTTTCCATACGTCTCCCGGTGAGTTCCGGTGAGCTTCATACGCCAGTCGTTGGAGGTTTGGAATCAGGGTTTAGCCATCTCCCCTAGACTGTCATCCAATGGACAGTCAACCCGGTGAAGAGCGCCGGGCATCCACTTTTGCCCTCTCACTTTGGTGAAAAACACCTCCGCCACGTGAAGGTAGTGAGTAGGACTTCCTCAGGAGAGGCTATGTAAGACGCCCGGTCATATGGGAGCATTTCAAGAGGTGTACGGAGGGGTGGCCAACCCGCAGCGCAAGACACCCACCCCCGACCATCCTGAGGCTTTGGAGGCAACACATAGTCGCCTTTTTGAAAAGTCCACTGGGAAGATATAAGGGGTAACAGTGAAGAAGATGAAGAATAAATATGAGCTTAGAATTGCAAAGTTAAACTTTTAAGCACCACTAACACTACCAATCAGCGAATGACGTCGAACGAACCAATCAAGTGAAGGAGGCATTTTTGTGTATGCATGAAATGCATGCATTTATGAAAAGATGCCTAAAAACTGTAGCAAAAGTGTTACAGAGGATACCTTCCTCTCACAACTGATAAGAGTAGCTCTCAGTTTTAGGTTGGCGTATCAATAGAGTATAATTCCATTGTTGGTAAAATTTATTCTGATAAAGTCTCATAGTAATATTTCGTGAGCAATAAATTGTGCTCGAAACGTTGTCTGTCATCAGTAAATATTATTGTATAACACTGAGATTTTGTCGGAATACATTTTACTCACAATGGAATTATAGACTACCATCGTGCACAATTGTGTACTTAAGTACTATTCTTATACATTCTATGCATGTAGTTAGTGAGGTCTTGTAACGCTAACAATAGTCCTAATCTTTCCTGAACTTAACTAACCCTAACACGTGAAAATATCCCTAAACTAACTGTAATCTAACTCGAACCACCAACCCTAATTATCGCCTTTATATTAAGTTAACCTAACCCAAACTTGTTCTTGACTTAAAGCGTAACCTTAATCTTTACCGAAATTAAGCTGAAACTTGTCGGATATCCCATTTAATAGGATAACACTTCGATGAGCATATTTTTATTGGTGATGACAATATTATTTGCCAGGTTTCACTAACTTGCTCAGTGAGCGTTTCACGGTCATTGGTGCCGTCGCACACTCCATTGGTAATTAGTTAGTGGTGCTTAAAGCTTAACTTGGCCCGTAGAATATATGAATTTAGTAGATTGTAAGAGAAGTTGAAATTTACAGTTGCTCAAAGTCTCAAATTTCCTCATGTGTAACATAAATAAATCGACAGGATATGAAACAGTCAGCAGAGATTTAAGACGAAACTGATGTCAAGATAGCGGTAATATTGGATTGATTTCCTACCGCACATAGTAGTGCTGTCGATCTCAGGAAAATCATGCGACTGAAACATACCTCAGATAGGAAACACTTCAGTGACTGATAGGACCCTGTGAAAAATAGTATATCATCCTTTCTCACAAATTGTGTGATTTATCATGTGATGGAGTTACTACTATGTGAATGTATCCTTTCTCACGCATACTGTGATTTTGGTGTGTGACCATTTTTTATCGTCTTTTGTCTCGCCTTCGGCTTTGTTGGATTGTCAACCAATGAGAATAGCAATTTCAAGCCAATAAGAATAATCCATTCTCACGGCTGTACGTCGACTTTATTATGGTTAAGAAAATGTATATTGAGTTATTTCCTAGAATGTACAATACAATATCTTACAGTCCCAGGCCAGCCCCAGCTTTTGTTTTTTGATGTTTGCGTGGCTCAGTGAATCGGAAGGTGGGTACAACGGACAAATAGGCGCATATCGGTGTATCAGTCGAGTTCATTACGATTATAGTAATTAACAGGCGCAGACATGTCAAAGTAGCAACGGATTTATTCGGATCAGTTCAGAATTACAACAAAATGGCTGACTGACTAACTAACTAACTGATTACAAACTCAGTAAAGTTTCATAACACTTTAAAAGGTTAAATAGCTCGTACATGTATTAAAAATGTGTTAATTTTATTTATAAACGATAGTTCAATGCTGTTTCCTATAAAAAATGAACACCTCATATCGCTTGTTAGTTTACACTGAGGTCAAGTTCATATAGAGTCATTATTAACTTGAATTAAACAACAAAAATAATGAAATATGATGAACACGTGTGACCTCTTTCAGCAAATGTGTGTGTGTGTACAATGAACTGATTGATGGTGTGATTAAAATCCTATTCAGCTTATTATGTTGTAGTAGAGAACAAAGTTGCATGCAATAAAATTTTGCTTATTTATTTATATTTGTTATTACTTTGCGTCCCAAGCGGAACAACGGTGACCTCAATAGCACACCTCCACTTTATCCTATTAGTATATGTATAAAACTTGGGCACTGTGGTCGGAAGTAATTCCATATTAGTTTGCTTATTATAGATATATCACTCACAGTGAGTGAAACAGTATTATAATATTTACTGGATGACACAGTTTCGAACACAATTCATTATTGTTCATAATCATATCATCAATTATAATCACACGACTTTGAGACTTGAGTTTTATAGTTTTCTTTGTCTTCTCCTATTTGTCGTCGTTAGGGTAGTAGAATTTTCCAGATATCTGACTAGATAGGTGTTGAATCATTTCTGTTACACGTGTTGGTTTGCAATTGATTCGATAAACAAAGCTTCTGTTATCAATCTCCCCCTTCACCATGTGACATTAGATTTTGAAACTGTCATCTTATGCCATCCAGCCTATTGTATGGTTGTGTGTAATTGCATTTAGAGAGTGCTATAGCTGAACTCTTTTCTAGATTTCTTATCTTATTCGGGTCAACTAATCTAGATTTTGCTGCTAGGTTTTTATGCTCCGCTAGTCTGACTGCCCCTGTTCTACTACTCTGACCTATGTATTTGACCTGACAATCATTCCAGCAGGGTATGAGATAAATTAAATTGTTTTGTTTTAAAGGCTCCACATGATTGATCCTTTAACCGACAAAGCCTGTTTCTAATTGAGTTTGTGGGTTTGAATGCCAGCCACTTTTATTCCTGCCTTGTTAAGAATTCTGCGTAAGGTGGTTTCCGAGGTTCTTTCCTTGTATGGATTACTACCGATGATTTAGACTCCTTATTGTTCGTGTCATTATTATTATTATTACCACTATCGCTACTATCATTATTTATTTTATTTTTACATTTCCTTACATATTTCCTGACTAATTTATCCGGGTAATTATTAAGTTTGAAGTAACGCAACGCGTCGGTGGCATAGCGGTTAGGACGCTCGCCGACCATGCACATGGTCCGGGGGTTCGATCCCCGGCCAACCGACGCACTCCTTTACCTCGCTAAGCCAGAAATAATGCTCGTAAAGAGGAAAGCGTTGGGCATGAGGCTAGCAACCCCATCCTGTAAAATAAACACTGCTACAGAAACTTCAAGCCACTAGCTTGAAGCCCTATGTTCCACTGGGGAACGTGAAGGAAATAATAATAATAATAATAATTAAGTTTAAAGGTTTCTCTTATGCGTATCTCTTCCTGTGTTAGATTTTCCTTGATACTACTTAGTTTTTGTGCTCTCTCACTTAAACATTTCACCAATCCTGTTTTCACTGACATAGGATAGGATGATCGGAAGTCCAAATATCTGTTTGACTGTGTGGGTTTCCTGTAAACACACTAGTATGTTTAACTTCCCATCTTCTTTCCTTTTCACGCTGCAATCTAACATTGGAAGCTCCCCCTTTCTGACTTTCCAATTCATTAAGTGAATTGAATTGCATCTACCTTCGAGTTGATGTGTTTGAAAAATCTATCTATATCTTGTGTTCTAAGTACAGTGAATGTGTCATCTACATACCTCCACTATACTTCGATGTGGGGTGGGACTGAAGTTTTCAATCGCTATGTATAACACATTAGATGTAAATGGTTTTTTTTGTTCAGCGAAGAAATTTCTTTTCAACGACTTCATTTTCGGGCTGTACAGGAGTATTTATATTATAGAAAAACGTTATTAAATGGCACTAAATAATTGCTCAGTCAATATACATATATATGTAATAAGAATAACGATAATTCTTATCATATATATATATATATATATATATTGACTGAGTTATTATTTAGTTCCATTTAATAACGTTTTTCTATAATATAAATACGACTGTACAGTTGGCTTGAAAATGAAGTCGTTGAAAAGAAATTTCTTCGCTGAACAAAAAAAACTGTGTTTTTACTTATGAATAAATGGGTATTTTTCGTGATATAAATGGTTCTCGAAGTCCCACGTCTTCTAGAGTCTTCTATTATCACTCCAAAAGTGTCTTCCATATAATCCAAGCCACTATAATTAAGAATATCATTGGAGAGATGGTAAACAGGCAGCTTTGCCTTACTCATGTCTTCATTTCAAAGGCTTCGCTGAGTAGTTTTCCGTTGTAGCATTGTCGTACAGCTGTTGAATGAAGTTCATAAAGATTTGGAGCACTGTACTCCATAGTGTTGAAGTAGTAGTTTCCAGTGTCAATCGACTCCAGTTATGTAACATCAAATTAAATATGTGGCTTCACACATCGTCGTTGAAATATTCAATATGTACTGTGTACAGTATTTTTCTTAACGCATAAGTAATTCCATGAATTGAACTCATCTCATCTCTCTTTGTACTTTTTCTAGGTCACGATTTAAGCCTAGCCGATCTACTCATCTTTCCACATTTACAAAGATTTGAAACTATTGTCGGACGAATCAACGCAAAGACTTGAATAATATTGGTGAATTGAATGGAAACGATGAACTACGCGCTAAATGGCCTAAATTGACAGGATATTTAGACGCAATGAGAAAGAAATCATTTGTTGCTGAAAGTGTTGCATCATGTCAACTTATTGCTCGTTTTGTGAATAATAAACATCAGGGTAAAGATGATCCTGATATAGAATGAATGAATGAATGAATGAATGGAGTTTGTAAATTGAAGCGGAATTCAAAGTCAACTTTGCTTATTTGATTGATATTGTTATCATGACTGTGGATGGTTTATAATTTTGTAGTTGTAGCTCAACACTTTTCTATTGATGTTATGCTATTTGTCCTTTCTATGTGTGCTCTGTGTGAATAAATATAATTTTTGCTTTCTACTAAAGGTGTGTTTCTTCTGTTTAGTGGCTTTCTCAACTGTTGACATGATTCAGATTGACCGACTAAGTGTCTGGTTTCAGCACAGAAGTGCTTCACTTCGTGTTGCTAGACTCCATGTAGCTCACAAAGAAAGGCAAGATGAAAGAAGATAAATAGATTTGAAGTAACATTGCTAAAGAGAAATGCGAATGGGGGAAAGATAGTAACATACAGAAACGTCGGGGTTTAAGGGATATAACAGATCACGGATCTGCGCGAGGCATTGAGATTGACTTTGATCCATATTACGAATTATCTTGAGGATCCCAACCAGGCAGTGTAGACCTAGGCTCGAAAACCAGCGGTGGGTGCGTTATGCTGAAGCGGGGTCCCAAACTAGGCTGACGAGAAACAGCTGCCCTGTTCTCCTTGCTGCCTTTCTAATGGTTTCCTAACTGATGTCAGTTCATGATGAAATCCTCAAAGTTGTCAATAGTTTTACTAGCATAATTTTAACATATATTAATTCATTTGGAAATGAAATGTAGAAAAATAATGATTAAGAATGATCATGGCATGTATTTAGATGAATCTAAATGATTAGTTATTAAAATTTGAAACTATTACTTATTATTATTGTTCCCTTGGGTTCCTAGTGGAACATAGGGCTTCAACTGCACGTCTTCACTTGCTTCTGTCTTCCTTCTGCTGTACTTTTCACCTGCATCCATGTTAGTTAGTCCATACTGTTTCAACTCCCCTTCACACGATCTCCTCCATGTCACCCTTGGACGTACAACTCGCCGCTTCCCTTTCGGGTTCCACTCGAGGGCTTGACGCGTGATGTCACCCAGCGGCCTCCTCATAGAGTGTCCAATCCATCTCCTGCATATTTGTTGGTTGGCGATTGGTTCTTGTTTTGTTTGTTAGTGCCCATATTTTTTTGTTGGTGATTCTTTCCGGCCCGGCCATCTGATTGATCTTTAGTATAGAGCCAGCGAAGACAGTTGTTGATAAAGTTAAGGTCTGCAACAGGCTGTTGGAAATATTCTTTGTGATCCGCCCGCCATTTTCTGATCCGTATAGAAGAGCTGACTGACTTGACTTGTTTGTATTGAAAATCCGACCTAATTTTGTTGTTGATGTTGGCTGAGTGACGAAGATTTCCAGATTGGTTTCAGGTTGATGATGATGATGTGTTTCTCGCTCGCTTTGACATCCTCTGGCTGTAGTTGAGACAATGCTCCCTAGATAAGTGAGTGAATGAAGTAACCTCTTTCAAATCCCTCCCGTTGATGGTGATTGGTGCTGGATGTTGCTGCTGTTGTTGTTGGTTGGTTGGTTGGTTATTTTCATAACCTCCGTCTTGTCTATGTTCACCTGGAGTCGTGTCTTCGCCGGCTGCTTCTTCGACCAGTTTGTCGGTCGGTTTTCGCTTGTAAGTCTTCGATTTTATGTGACATCAAAAATAAATCATCGCCGCGCGAAATCCAGGTCTTCTAGGTTCTTCACGTCGGTCGGTCCAGGATATCCCTGTTTTCTTGTGTCCCACTGTCTGACGCATAATCCAGTCAGTCCACCACAATTAGGAATATCATTGGTGACAATAAGCAGCACCCTTGTCTGACTCCTGTGTTTACTCCAAACGCCTGGCTGAGTTTTCCGTTGTGGATCACTTGACATGTTCCGTTGTCGTATAGCTGTTGAATAATAAGGTTGAATATTTGGGGTGGGGTACGCCGTAGTACTCGAGTAGTTTCCAAATTACTTCGCGGTCAACGCTGTCTGTCGAAGGCCTTCTCAAATTTTATAAAGTTGAGGTAGAGGTTTGATTGTTATTCCATGCTTTGTTCTGTGATGATGATGCGTAGAGTTGCAATTTGATTACAGTTGTAATATACCCTAATACAATTGGAGATAAAATGTAGAACAACAGTTATCAAGAATGATCGTGGTATGTATCTAGAGAACATCTCCCACTATATCTAAGTGAAGGTGTAGTGAAAACCATTAACATTTCGATATTGGACCATCTGGTGCAAACCGACTGGCCACAAAGCCAGTCAGCACTGAAGAATCCTTCTCTATCATCTACCGGATGCCTAATAAATTGCCAAAAACATCCAGGTACCGCATGCTTCAAACAGCAGAGGCTATCGCAATATACCTCAAACAACCAATGCTCTGTGTTCAAAAGAAGCAAGTCCAGCCAGGCACTACTACTGCCCAGGCTGGCCTTCAGTAGAGAATATAAATTCATGAATTTGTATTAATCTTATCTTTCCTAATTTTTCTGAAATTCAGTTTATTGTTATGTTGATGCTATTGAGCTGTAATCTATCAATATTTTATACATTTATTCCCCTTAATGAATTTGAAAAAAGGCAAGAACTACAGTTTTTGCAGAATAAAGTCGTACCATCTTTTATTTCGTTGCCTTCTCGTCAGCTCAGCTGCTTACAGGCCAAAGACATTATTAAATATATCTACAAAAACTATTTTAACATACTTGCACAGCAAGTTCATTTTAAACAAATATCAATCGATCAATATATGCATACAGTAATATATATATATATATATATATATATATATACATAATATTAAACACTATTCCGAACAGTAATACTCACACACAATGGAATTTTTCAGCAATACTCATTCAGATGCAAGAGAGAGATCAAAATATCCATTTACCAGGCAATGCAAAGAAAGACTAATAACCGCCTCTTTCTGTACGCATAAATCAGGTTTCAGGCGCTTGATAGAAATGGCTTCAGCAAACTTAAGGAGAATTGAGCTCTTTTGCCTACTGATAATTTTGAACGACTTTTCGACGTTCACCTGATGACCTGTGTCAGGAGATGCCTGGCAATGACACTGTTTAAAGCATTTGTTCCCTTTAGACATAAGCTTTTTGGTAGATGTTCGTAAAATCGTAGATATGCCCTTCTTTCTGTCCTTCCAATATAAACGCTTCCACAGATACATGTAAATTTGTATACACAGCTGGAATTGTTAACATGAGAAGGAAATCTATCACTTTTCGACTGCACCGAAGAACAAGTTCTTTGAAAAACGGGGACGAGCTTAGCTTCAGGATGGGCTCTGGTTAGTGATATACACAGCCTTCTGTTGATCATTGTTGCAATGTTTTCACCTCTATAATCAAGTTGAATGTAGATTGGCTTTTTACCCACTGTGATTTACCTGACATTTGAGCCTTCAGATCTTCCATACTTGTTGATGAACCTTTGAGGGTATCCATTGCTCTTCAACATCTTTTCAAGAAACTCAAATTCTTTCTCTAATTTCTCTATAGAGCATATTCTTCTCGCTCTATAGTCCAGAGTTTTGACTAGTCCACGTTTAAAGCTATTTGGACAAAAGTTATTCCATGTAGGCTTTGCATAAATTGACTTCTGAAGACTTCCATCTTCTAGGCATTGCATGGCAGTGTCTAGGAAATGGAACTTTCCGTCACTTTCATGTTCCATAGTAAACTCAATGTTGGTGTGTGCATCGTTGAATAATCTGCAAAAACTGTAGTTCTTGCTTTGTTCGATCAATATTACTGATTCGATGTTATTTAAACAACGTTCATGTTGTTCATAACACTAATTTATTCATTTATTCACTGCGATGTATATATATCTGTAGAGCCTGATGATGAAGGGGTTATCCAAAAGAGTACCCTTTGTTCAGTATCCTTTCCTTCAAAAGGATTAGTGAGTACAATATAAAATCATTACTGCTGTATCATATTCTGTGTGTGTGTGTGTGTGTGCGTAATACACAACTGAATTACCTCATATAATGAGAACAAGGTTAACGACGATATATTGAGGTATATAAATTATAAGAACAGGTGAATCATAAGTAAATTGTTAGAACACAAATGAAGGCATGAGAAAAAAATATTTATTGTGAATGAAGCTCACTTTGTTAGATATCAGAACAAGATGACTCTAAGAGAACAATTATTGATTTCAACAACTACTTCATACTCTATAGTTATATAAATCCATAAATATTAGAATACAAAATGGCCAGCCATTAAGTGCAAATGAAAATTTGATACCAGAAACTGCCTGTATTGAGTTACATACGTATGAGATGGAATGATAGTCCGGTAGTTAACATTGCTAATTGAATGTATATAAAGTTAAAAGTCAATCTGAATGAAGAATATTCTTTTCAATAATTTCTCCTTTTCAGGTACTTACAATTATAAAACAGTTATAATATGTATTGTTATTACAATAATGATAGCCAATTAGTTATGCGGTGGATACATTTGTTTCAACATAGAATAACAGGTTAGTAGTTATGGGGTGTCAAAATAAATAGTCGTATATGTGGGTGAGACAAACGTGCTCTGGGTTGAAATCGATTACAAAATATTTCTGTAAAATGGGAGTCTCCTACACAAATAGCTGAAGCTGTTGCAATAAGATCGACTAAACCGGAACTTTGTATCCAAAAATGAGAACACGTCCAGACGCTGTTCCTACCGTGGCCAAACTTGGATTGATGATTCTTCTTCTCACCAAGAGTGCTCCTTCCCCTTAACCATCTTGGTTGTTTTCATTTGCTTATTATTACAATTATTTCAGGATTTCATCATGAGCTGACATTAGTTAGAGAACCATTGAAAAACCTGGGAGTATTGGATAGCTGTTTCGTCCTAGTTTGGGACTCTTCAGCAGTACGCACCCATCGGGATTCGAACCCAGGACCTTCTGGTCACGAGGCGAGCTCGTATACCATTAAGCCACTGGGACCCGATCCAATGGTCCTTGAATTCTAACTTCTGCCAATTCACGACATAGCGCGACCGCTAGCCAATGTCTTCGGCGAGTATTTGTCCTCACACCCGACCCTTTGCACCCTACTGGTCACGACTTCCCACTGGAACCCAGGTAACTACCTACCTGAATAGGGCCAGTCGCCAGTGAGCATCTCATTGGTATTCAAGTGTTGGTTTGTAGGGATTTGGTTGGTTTCAGGATTTCATCAATAGCT